TAAGAATTCGACTTTAATTAATTAAACGAAATCAAAATTACGTACATAAACATCCATGATATTTATAAATTTTGTGCTTCTATCCCTTTATTAAGTGTTTCAATTTTAATTAAGTGTTTTAAATAATTTGCTTACAAAATTGCACAAAAAGTTTTTATAACTCAATTCTCAATATTAATAATTCTGTTTTCGGCAACTATGCTGACGACATTTCTGATTTCAAAAACCGCAAAAGACCTCGCGCTGTTCTGAATAGTATTCATTAACGTTTCAATATCCTCCTTTCCGAATGACCATGCAATTTCTCCGCTGAGTCACAATTTCCCCTCTTCAATTGTTTTTTTTTCTGTTGTTTATTTTTTATTACCTTTTATTCCTTATTTAAAAATTACAATAATAATATAAAAAATAACAAATTAATTTTTTTTTAAATACATTAATAATATATATATATCCTTTTCTATCTAATCAATAAGTTTAAAGCTTAAGAAACTTCTCTCTTTCACAAGGCGGGAGATAGAGGTTGCTAAGCAACCAAGGTTATCCGTCAATCTGGCAAATCGTCGTGGTATTCTATTTATATGCAAATCACTAATAAGAATCTCTTTATGCTATCTATTTAATCCCGAATTGTTATACAGTCATTCTACAAGTCAGCGTTAGTTAACAAATTTTAAATGAAGAAAAATATTATTTTTAAATTAAATTTATATTTAAAAAAAAAAAAAAAAAAAATACAATTTAAAGACAGAGTAGTATGAAATTTATGATTTTCACCTTCTTTTTTTTTTTTGAAATTTATTTCGCATCGTATATCCTTATAAGCGAGTTAATGAAATGTATTTAGATATTAAGTCAGCTATTAAATTTCATTAATAATTTTTAATAAACTGTTGTTGTAGAATGTTTAAAAAATTGTTTAGTATAGAATATGCTCTGAAAATGTCTAACGAAAAAAATCGTTTTTCTTTATAATGAAAAAGATAACAAATATTTCAATTTCAAAATAATAAACAAACAAAAAAATTTCAAATAAAAATATTTATTTACATTTGCAATGAATGAATAAATTAGTAATACATATTTCAGCCAAATGGTTTCCTCATAATAAATAATTCCTAATTACGTATGGAATTCCTTTCATAAAAACTTAGTGAATTATGAAAAAATTACCGAAAAATGAATCTGAAGATTCAAAACTCCAAAAGAAGGAATAAAAGATCAGTATGAAACAATCAACAAAAATTGTTGAGTGTTATTGAGTGCTGTTTAAACAATTGAGTTGCTTCGCCACATTCTGAGTAGTAGATCTAAAGTTGAAGTTGGTATGACAAGAATTTCTACTGGATGACTGCTTTGCTAACCCCCAATCAAGACCTAAGCCGACTCCATAACTAAGTCCAAGGTAATTTATTGAAGTACGTTTTAATGGTAGAGACCTTTGCCAGCTCCCAAACCATATCCAACTCCGAGTGGAGCTCCATAGCCAAGACCAAGTACTGCGCCGTGACCAAGTCCAAGAGGAGCTCCATAACCAAGTCCGGCTCCGTGTCCGATCACACCACCGTAAGCTACAGGGGCGGCGACGGCCAGTGGGGCGGCATAGGAAGCAGCGTGTCCAACAGCTACAGCTGGGGCCACGTGGTTGACGACTGGGGCGACGGGTCCGGCGTAGGGGCTGGCGATGAGGGCTGCAGCTGGAGCGCTGGCGGCGGTTCCGGGCTCGTTGGTCTTGACGGTGGCCCTGAACCCGTGTCCGTCGGCGACGTAGTCCACTCGTCGGGCCCTACCGTCAATGTCGGCGATAGTGTAGGATCCCTTCTTGTTTCCGTGGGCGTCTCCCACTTCGGATCGGGAGTTGGTGGCACCCAGTCCGTCCTTGATTCCATAGTTGAATGCATAGTTACCGTAAGCCTAATTAATTTAAAAGTGCCATGAAAATTCCAAGAAAATTAAGATTCATACGAAAATTTAAAGAGAATAATGATGTTTCCTTATGGTGAAGTATTTAAAAAGATAAATTAAGTAAAAGACATCTACTTACATCTTGAGATCTGGCACTGTTGCTGACTCCGGTGCTGACCAGATGACCATGTCCCAGGAGGACATTGGCGTGGACTGCTGCGAGGGCAGTGAAGAGGATGGTGACCTAAAAGATTTGTAAAATTGGATTAATTAGTTAACCTACAAAAGCTCTTCTTTTGACGTACAGAGGAGTACTGAGGTGTGCATATTGAGGTTCGTACTCCAAGTTTATAGCGGTATGGTTTGCCACTCTACGGTCACTTTGTGCACAGTTTAGGCTAATTAGACCAGGACCTGGATTCCGAACTACTTCTACTACTACACCATACCACATCATAGTGCCTGCGGCTGAGTTTCCCCTTTCCAGTTTGGGAATGATGTGGGGGAGAAGACTGATTGGGTTTTGTGACGCTCTACGCTCATATGAGACGGGACATACGGCTTAAAGTGGATTCTGAACCCCTAACAAGCATCTTTACCAACGCTAGCAATCGAACCTGAAGCCTGTTTGACTAAGGCCCAGAGCTCTAGCCAATTGGCCCTCATTACCATCATTAGCGCAACAGCCCATGGCGGACCAAGGCCGTCTGTCAACTGGCAGTTTACAAGACGAGAGATGTTTTTCTTTTTACGGAGTAAGGTTGTCAGCCCTACGCCTACACAACAGCCATATTAGCCCGGGACATACAGTTTAAAGTGGACTCCTAACCACTACAAACATCCATGACACCGCCGGGACAAGAACCCGAAACCTGCGGCACCTAGCGACGGAGAACCAGTCACTCGGCCATCAGAACGCCAAGTTTATAGCAGTTTACAAAATAAAGGTGAAACTTTAAAATGCAGTTTGGAAGGTGAAACATAAAAATTCATCTAAAGAGAAAAGTGATCTTACCTTAGCAATCATGTTGGAAAGTGTTTGCTGTGCAATGAACACAAAATGACTTGGTGGAATTATGATTCTAAATGAAATCGTTCTGCCTTTATATATGGAATCCTGCAAGAACATCGGCTGGGATAATCCTCGCCCATCTACATCCCAGATCCCGTTTGCTGATGTGGAATGCGCCAAATGACCCCGTTCGACCAGAAGGGAACACTGATTGGCATCGCCTACGGAAACGGCTCGTAATCGTGGAAGAAAGTCAACTAAATCTCTTTTGTTTCTCCCTTGTCTCAAATAGAGAACACAAATAAATAACTACCTACGGGTTGATTCAAACCACTGCAAATATCAATGATACCACAGTGATTCGAACCTAACCTGTGGCAACGAGAGCTAGACAATCGGCCATCAGGCTTTCGATTCCGAACCACTAATACACCATCATACCACATCACTGTACCTAGAGCTGTGTTGCCGCTTTAGAGTTTGGGAATGGTGGGGGGAGAAGAAAGTCTGATTGGACTCTACGGGACCTACGGCTTATGAGACCGGGACCTAAGGATTAAAAGCGGAATCCGAACCACTACAAACATCCATCGCACCACCTAGATTCGAACCTGAAGCCAGAGCTCTAGCCAATTGGCCACCACGTTTATAGTAGAATGCAAAGGAAGGTGAAACTTTAAAAATGCGGTTTAGAAGGTCAAACATAAGAAGGTTTGGTTTGTCGCTCTACGGTCATCTTGTGAACATGAGGCTAAACAGACCGGAATATACAGTTTAACGTGGATTCCGAACCACCAGCAAACATCCATGTCACCACCAAGATTCGAACCTGAAGCCTTCGGTACCAACGGCCAGAGCGCTTGCCAGTTGGTTTGGTTATCAGGCCGCTAAAACATAAGAAGAGAATAGTAAGCTTACCTTAGCAATCATGTTGGAAAGTTTTTGCTGTGTAATGAACACGAATGACTTGGTGAGGTTATGATTCTAAGGAAAACGTTCTCCCTTTATATATGAAATTCTGCAAGGACGTCGGCTGGGACAATCCCCGCCCATCCACATCCCGAATCTCGCTTGCTGAGTGGAATGCGCCAAATGACCCCGTTCGACCAGAAAGGAACACTGATTGGCGTCGCCTACGGAAACGACTCGTAATCGTGGAAAAAGTCAACTCGATCTCTTTTGTTTCTGCCTTGGCGTAAATAAAGAGAGAACAAATAAATAAAGGACGTTTAATTCCGCGGAAAACGACCTTTAATGGAATGCGTTTTAATTTTATTTTTACTGAGTTCTAGTTCCAGATTAATTTAGATGGTCAAAACATTTTTGATTGGCGAACAAAAACGAATAAAAAAATATTTTTTTAAATTCCTGTGAAATATTTGAACTACTCTTTTGAAACAGATATTTATAATGATAGAAATTAAGATAAAAATTTAGGACAGGGGTGGCCAACCCAAATAATCTTGCGGGCCCTTTTGGAAATGCGCCTAACTTCGCGGCCCGCATATAAAATTATGTATCCCTCTATTAGATTGTGACCCACTATAGACATTTTTTGGGAGTGAAAAATTGAAACACAATGAGTTATTATTATTGGGTTTACTACTATTATTCTTACACTTAAACATAGATAATAAAATAATAATGACACTAAACGCGCATAGTAAAGAAATATATCACACTAAAAACAAAATCTAAAAAATATATAAATATAAACGAAATTAAAAAAATTGAAATTATTAAAAATATTTATTTTACGAGTGCCATATTTGTTTCTCCACTCTTTCACTGAGCTTTTTCAATTTGATTATTTGTACATTGTAAAGGGTGTTGCTGGTTAGTGTCCGTAAAGTTTCAGCTGTTTTTGTGTTTGGCCAAAAAAGGAACAAAAAGCGCTAACAACTGGAACTAAGAGTTTGGTTTGCTCTGCTATCAACAATCAACCATGCATAACTAGGGATGGGTACTGCGCCACTGAGGACAATTAAAGTGAAACGTAGAACCTGTTATATTTGATGTTCCAAGATAGCGCACGTGATGAGTTTGCAGAATATAATTCACTTATTCTGTCAACTCATGACTGTCCGGTTCTCGTTCGATCACCGAAGTCAAGCATCATCGGGTGCGGTCAGTATTTGGGAGGGTGACCACCTAGGAAATTGGAGCCTGAATGGCCGAGTGTCTAGCGTTCTGGCGCTCGGTGCCACAGGTTTCGGGTTCGAGTCCCGGCGGTGTCATGGATGCTTGTAGGGGTTCGGAATCCACTTTAAGCCGTAGGTCCCGGTCTCATATGACTGTAAGAGCGTCACGGAGCAAAAGTTAGGCTTCTACCTACAGGTGCTCCATCACAACAGAAGCTGCTTCCTTCCCCTTCAATCATGAGTACGTATGGGCTTGGCCTAGAAATGTCTGCCAAGTGGGATAAGAAACAACAACAAACAACAAACAACTCATGACTGTAATCTCATCAATAAAACAGGCAATATCTGTCCTATATTCGCAAGACTATTATTTTAAATTCAAAGTTCATTTTTCTCATCATTTCGACTGTTCATTTTCACTATAGGGATACACACGTAATGTATTTTTTAAACATTGGTTTTCACTACTTTGGCCCTTTTAAAATAAATATATTTTGTAAAACTGTGATAAATGTCAAGGGCCGGTATAACTTTGCAAGGCGGGTAGCCGGTTGGCCACCCTGATTTTGGAGATAAATTAAAAATAAAATTATATGCAAATCTCGCTTACATGGGATAGGAGTGTAGATACTTTCCATTAAAAAATGGTTATTTGATATTATTTGGAAAGACAATCAGATTATCTGAAATTATTAAAATTAATTATCATGAAGTAAAATAGAGATTGACGGTTTCAATTTTAATTTGATGATTTTTTCCAAATGAACATGCACATTTATAGTGATTTTAAATAAAAAGAAATGAAGATAGAATTCATAGATTTAATTGTTGTTTCAAAATAACATTTTGCGTATAGTATGTATCTCGTAGTATGTATATAATATCTCCAAGACATTATCCTATAGATATAGGATATATCCTTCTCGAAGACAATATCCTACAGATATAGGAAGTTTTAATGTCGTGGGACTTTTTAACTTAATAATAGTAACATGATTGTACTTTTTGCAATCATGTTACTATTATATTAGCAAAAGATATTCTGTTTGAAAGAGGGGGCGGGGGAAAGGAATTTAAAAAGGTAATTAAAAAAGGAAATAGTATTTTTGCAAAAAAAAAAAAAAAAAAAAAAGATAAAATTTCTCTCTCTCACTCTTTTTTAAACCGAAGTTTGATAAATTTAATGTCAGCTACATACAGGGTGATTATAATTAAAGTCCGACTTTCAAAATTCTGTAAAAAAAAAAAAAAAGAACCACTCGTCAGAATGAGATGAAATTTGAACTGAAGATACTTGAAGAAGGGAGAAAAAGTTTTTGCCATAAAAATGTTCCAAAAGGTTCCACCAATTTTTCCCATCCTGGGTACAATTGGGCATGACCTTGCCGTGATGGATGGGCATTCCACTCCCTGTCACAACTGCTGAATGACGTGGAAATAATTTTTTTTCCGTCAAAAAAAAAAAATTAAGCACATTGAACACTACAGTTGGTTTCATGTGCAACTCATGCCAAACACGTTGTCATTTCGATTCAAAATTTCACTGGCAGACGAATTCATTTTCTTTATGCCGCTTACAGCGCCATCTATTAATACACTTTGGAAACCTTTTTGATGCCATACCGTTTCCCCTTTCTTCAAGTATTTTCAGTTCAAATTTGAACTCATTGTGACGAGTGGTTCTTTTTTTTACAGCATTTTGAAAGTGTGACTTTTATTATAACCATCCTATATTTTAATTAAATATATCGATATTTTACAGTACTGTACCCGGCTAATTGCATAAAAATTAATTTTTAACTTTGATTAAATCTTACATACGTTAGACTTCATTTGTTTCGGATGTTAATTGTGAATCCGAACCCACACATTTAAATTTGATCTTTATGTTTTTAGTTTTGAATACATCTTTCTCACTTTCAGTTTTTTGTTCTTATTTTAAACGTTTCCGTTATCAGTCAAGTTTGTTGCTTCTCAGCTTTTGTTTTCATTTTGTCAAAAAAAAAAAAAAAGTTATTTATTCAAGTGAGTTTCCAAATTGATTATTAAATCAAGTGTAGTTTATTATATATTATTGTTTAATTTTCAAATTAGTGGATATTCTGGTAAAAGATCATGAATTACAACTGAGCATTGTGGCTATAAAACGATATGGTACTTTGTCGTAGAAGGTTAGTAGAGCAACAAGAACAACTCAACGAGGAAATTTAAAAAAACTAATAACATCAAAAATATTTTTTTTATTACTATTTCTTCTCTCTAAGACACGATGAAATAAATAATCGAAGAAAGAAATTCGTAAGAATATTATTTTAAAAATCAAAATTAATTTTTTCTGCAAATTTCGACAGTTAATGTTTGAGTAGATGGATGCACACATAATGTATTTTTTAATACATTGATTTTCGCTACTTTGGCCATTATAAAATAAATATATTTTGTAAAAGTGTGATGAATCGCACGGGCCGAAAAAATGTTCAACCCCTGATCGTACAACACCCGCATCCCATGTAGAATGAAAATATGTATAACTATGAATTACATCCCCACTCTGTCGTCTTCTGGTTATTCCAAGACATTTTCAAGTAAAAAAAAATTTTAAAAAATGTGGTAAATCTAAATGGACCAGAAAAATATTTAAGGTGGCAATATATCTCATATATTCTCAAGAATGTTATTTTAAAATCAAAGTTAATTTTTTCTCATTATTTCGACAGTTCATTTTTGAATATAGGGATGCACAACATAATATATTTTTTTAATTCATCGGTTTGCACTACTTTGGGCTATTATAAAATAAATATAGTTTGTAAAATTGCGATAAATCTCACGGGCCGGAAAAATATTCAAGGCCGGCCGTGGGTTGGCCACCCCTTTTCTAGACGGAATAGATGTCATGGTCTAGAACTTTATAGCTGATATAAAGACTTCCACGAGGAATTCCAATGGCAAGTTTCCCACGAATGCTTGTGGTATGGGACAAAACCTTAAAAACAGCATCTGTTCATAAAGACAGATCCTGTATAATAGTCTCTACTGAGATTATACATTATCACAGCATTGGTTGTGGTTCACGCCATTAGTGAAGTCAAACCTACATTCTCGTTCGTTGGTTAATCCTTACTGCTATTGAACCATGAAGATCTATTAACTTTAGTGATGTTCTTTATGTAATAATAATTTCTTCATCAAGTGTTTTTTTTTTTCATTAATCAGAAATTTGGTTCTGAAAACAACCCTTTTTAGCGGGGGAAGGGGGTATATAATGCTTTTTTTTACCTTGCAGAATTCATCGTTACGGCCCACACTTTCAGCAATCTTAATCTTTAATCTTATACGATATATTTATGGCATCTACAACTGGTTCCTAATTGTACCGGATTTTTAATTTAAATTCTTTTCAACTTTAATTTTAACTATTTATTTTTTTTTTTTTTTTTATCTTACTTTTATTTATTTTTTGTATTTTTTTAATTTTTAGAGCAGGTTTTTTTTTAATTTTTTGAAACTTTATCTTTTATCTAATAACATTAAAGTAGCCAATTTAAAATCGTAAATTTTATATATTGAATTAAGATGAGGAGGTTAAAGGGGTCTATCCCCATGGGTACTCCGTAATCGGTACTCCAGTTGAAAGTTAAATAATCAACAAAAGGCAAATCAAAATCATTAACATATTTAATGAATGCCCGGTGAACTGCCTAATAATATATTAATGATATCATTGAGTTTCATGAAAACTCTTCAAAAATTATATTATTTAAAAAAACGGCATCATTTTTTTTAATGAACTATATTCTAAGTTCATGAAAACATTCTCAATTTTGTTAATCGCTTCAAACACCTTTTGGAATATAAGGGCCTGATGGCCGTGCTAGCTCTGTCGCTCGGTACCACAAATTTCGGATTCGAGTCCCGGCGGTGCCATGGATGTTTGTAGTGGTTGGGAATCCCTTTTTAAACCGTAGGTCCCGGTATAATAGGTTCGTATAGAGTTGTTGAGGAAGTGTTACTTGCGTCTGTAGCCTATCTTCAAGCTACACGTACTTCCGGCGTAGTGCTAAATGAGTAACAACTGTGCAGCCCTTGCTTATGGCATAAAGTTTAATTGTCTCTGTATTATCAACTGCATTAGAACAACAACCTTTTGGAATGTTAGATTGTTACCAATAAAATAAATACTTTTTCGTTATTTATTAATATACATAAGGTTAATAGTTTTATGAATAGAAAATGATATTATTTCCATTAGAAACTGTACGGCTAAAGTTTGATAGGTCGAACTAGAATACATGCAGGGGGAACTGTCTCTGACTTGTGACAAGTGTGCTGAGACACATAGGACGGGCTGTGGAGCGGTTTTGGAATGCCGAGGGACAGAGCTCGTCCATTGGGTGAATGTCACCGTTAGAGATTTGGGGGAGATAGCCAGGATGGACCCAATGGATAGAGGAGGACCCCAGAAATAAAAAAAGTTTTAAACTTTGGTAGATTTTTTAGCCAGGTGTCTTCAAGATTCTAGTTTACACCTGTTGAATCGTGTTACCAGTGTAGACAAGCCATTCTAATAAATGTCTTGACTTGAATGGTAAAGGAATAGATCAGGGCGGAGGGGGGCAACTCGCGGCCCGCCTTAAATATTACTCCTGCCGTGAGACGTATCGCACTTTTATAAAATATATTTGTTTTAGAATGGCCAAAGGCATGAAAACCTATGTATTAAAAAAATGCATTATGTGCGCATCCATAAATTCAAAAAATGAACTGTCGATATTATGATAAAAATTAACTTTGATTTTAAAAATAATATTCTTCAGAATTTAGGACAGATATCGCCTGTTTTATTGATGAGTTCGCAGAATAATTCAATTATATTCTGCAAACTCATGATGCGCGAGCATCTTGGAACATCTAACATAACAGGTTCTATGTTTCACTTTAAGTGACCTCAGTGACGCTGTGATCATCCTTAGAAACGTACAATTGATTATTGGCAGCATAGCAAACTAGACATTTAGT